GTAACGTTTTGTAAATTTCAGTTTTTTGATATTTAACAAATTAATATAAAGTCTTTCCTACCTACTATACATAGAAGTATTTGAGTCTAGATCAGCAGAACTAATTATTTGCATTTCAATGTTTTAGAATAATCATGAAGAAAGTGACGGAATCGATGATGATTTCGTCATGCCTATTCAACCAAAGCGGAAAAAAAACGAATTGGAGAACAGTACGGTCCTTGATGTAGTTCATGATATTTCCGAGAACACCTCCAGTAATTACACTGACACTGAGCTACATAAAGCTGGACAGCCGTTAAAATCACCAGGATTCGAGTTTCAAAAAAAGCAGGCGTCAGAGAGGAAATCAAAAAGGCGTAAAGTTAGCACGAAGAAAAGTGAGATACCATTAAGTTCAAAAACTTCTTCCAGCGACGTATATACAAACGAAAACTCTGCAAGTTCCACGGAAGACATTGATGTTGAAATCGATGATATTACAAACATTGAAGAGCAATTAAAGAAGCAACCTCATACTGAGGTAAGTAAAGAGAGTTAACCTTTGATTTCATCTGGCGCATTATTAATGTTATTCATGTGCTTCAGTGGATTGTAAGAAATATTAACATAACACAAAAGTTCCGTCAATATCAATGGAGTGCAATTGATAAAGCGAAGAAAGGGTTACTGAAGTGGGACAATACGTATGAGATATTGTAAGTATTGTACAACCAAAATTCTAAGAGAAAGATTATATTCAAGTTTAACATTTTGCAATTGTATTACAGGGCACTAGCATCGATTATCGTTATTTCATCTCCGTGTCCATATCCTTATGAATATTTTACGCTTGAAGAATGGGATTATATAACAAAAACTAATCCATATAGTATTGAGAAAAATACTATTCCATCATCCATTTCAGCAAGTCTATATGAAACAGCGGAGGAATGTGTTTTCGGAAGAAGCATTTATATGAATGCAGAAGAATCATTTTTGAGTAAATGTGCTGGGAGAATTTTTAATGATTTGTGAGTTGAATTAATAATATTTTGGCAAAAAATTAAAATATAGGAATAATTTTATTTAATTCTTTTTTAACACTTTTAGGAATAATGTTCCAGTAGAAGCGCTCAGTAAAATTTCTGAAGATCTCCATTGTTGTAATTATTTACACCCATTTATAAAGCCACTCTTCATGATACCAAAAGTGTATGAAGTAAGGCTTAATCGTTCAGCAGCTGGTTCTAGGAAACGGCCAGACTTTTCATGTGTTGTTGATAACATACCAATACTAAACTCTGAAATAAAACCACTTGGGTTCACCCCATTGCAAAAGAAAAAAGATTTCGCGAAGGTGAATCTAAGAGCAAAGAAGCCCATCAACCAACAACTAAGTTTAAAAGGTGGTCCTAATAAGTCCGTAATTTTTACAAATATGGGTATGTATATAACGAACTGTTTGTTTTACATATATTAATATGTATTTATTGAACGTTATTTTTATGATTTAGGCGACGTGATTGAGTCATTTCTTATGGAGCTTAATTATGACGGAATTTACTGTTCATGGTCTTTCTGTAAAAGTAAACTAATAATTGATAAAGCTTCAATGCCACTCATAGTATCTACATTCTGTCATTTTGTAGAATTGAAGGTATACATTTTTTTTTATGTCAATTTACATTTTTGTGATATAAAGATCATAACAAACTTTTTATTCACAGAAGCGAACAAACAAGCTGGCAGAAGATTTCAAAAGTCGAAAAGTTCCATTTACCCCTCCAAATCAAATTAAATTTGGATTCATACGTGATGATCCAAACTCCCCACAAATCCGTCAGTTGGTTAAATAATTGGGCTGTTGGTCTGTATGTTATTGTTTGTGAAGGGAGACGCTTTTCTAAAAGAAAGTGTTAACAGTTGATGTCTTTACGATTCATACTTATATCTTTTGCTATATGCTATTTGAGCTGTTTATAATAAAGAAAAAATTATATACTATAACATTAATATCATCTGCTATACGTTTAAAGGAAAGAACAATTTAAAAGTGTTTCACCATGGTGTTTGATCTTTGATTCTAGTATGGATTTTTCCCAAAATGCAAACATTCTCCTCAGTGTTGCATAATCTCTAAAACTTTTTCGAAATGATTACATAATTAAGGTATATTTTTTCATTTGCATGAAGTATCCTTTGGGCTTATAAGTTAATAGACGGAGGAGCGGTAATCACTGCATAAATTCTTGACGGGATTTACTAAGATTGATGCTAATTTATTCCTAGCATGATAAATAAAACCCGATCATAGAATGGGGTAATGTGTTAGCGAAAAGCTAGTGCATTAATATAAAAACATTAAATTACAGTAAATAAAGTGGCAAAAGTGATCGGCGTGAACAATTGTTCACGCACATGTGATTTTTTTCCTGCATCACAGTTATATCATGCTGTTGATTGAAGTGCAAAAGGTGGTTTCATCTTAAATCTAACTGTAGATGATACCGATAATGTAATTGCCGAAGTTTTAAAAGGAGCAGGAACCGCATAATACTGCGCCATACTGCGCCCCGGTGACATGTGTCCCGCCTCGGCAACTAGAAAAATAGTGTTTTTTTACACGTGATTTAATAAAGTTTTGCCCAATAGGGTTTGCATTTTTTAACTCATGCTGTGTGATCTGCTCATCGAATAAAATCGTATTGTAACACAATCCCTGAGACTATTCCCGGGATTATCCCACGTACCATCCCCGGCTCTGATTGATCAAGTGTCCATAATATAAGTTTCGGGAGATAAATTTAACCGGATGTTTCTGCGCAATTTTGACGAACCTGGACACGGTGTCCAGACTCTACCATTAGAAAAAATAGTTGTAATGATTTTCCCGAATCAAGGCTGGCTAAAGAAAAAATCCGAAACCTGGTTGGCCGATCATCTCGTGATTTGAGTTGCGAGAAGGTTGCGAGGAAGTGCTGGAAACTGCATGGGAGCTAGGGTGATACAAATTTTTATGTTATACATCATGTCTGGCTAATCCCTGTTAATCCATGTACAGCGCCTATGGCCAAACCACATATAAATATAAATTTAGCCCTCCTTTGTATCTTCGATACTGCAGGAGATTATTTAACTATTGAGAAGAAAAATTTACATGTTTTCGGGCGACGGGTCTCACTGAAATTTGCCAAGAATTTTCATTTACTTTGGGTAAGAGAAATCTCCCGCAGTCCTTGGACAAGAGAGGAGATAAAAATGAATCTGATATTTATTAGAGTATAATATCTCTAAATCAGTCAAAATCGGCTATAAACTATAAATCAATAAAATCGTTATATTCTGTTATAATCTACTAAAACGCTAATATGGATCTTGATAGTAGAGCCCATTCTAAGCTAATTGATGCATGGAATACTCATGGAGGCTCTGAAGATTATAGAAGAATACTTGAAAGATTAGGCCCTTTAACAAAAAGACATGATCACGAAACATCAGAAATGTGATGCTCTCGTATTCGTAATCCATTTAGAAAAATACTTGAAGAGAACTATTCTTCGGGGAATAGAATCCTTTCTAAGAATGGATATATTAAAATGTGTGAAAAGTTATATGAAAATGATAAAATCCACGGTTATTCAACAAATTATATATATTGCAGTGTATGTAACTCCTTAGTCTTCATACCTTATACTTCTTTTAGTGCTCGTATCTATCAAGATAACCACTTGAAGAGATGCATTTCTGAAAATAGTATTTTGAATGAACATTCAAGAAGAAAAGAAATTCTCAAATCTATTGATAGGAGGGAATTTCAGATCTGGCAATATAAGCAATATATATTACAGAAAGAGGCTAAAATTAATCGTCTTCGTCTAGAACTTTTCTCCCAATCTACCCATACTCAGAAAAGGATAAGTTAGCATCGGTATTATATGATATTGATGGAAATTTTACGGCTAGCTATGAAAATTATGCACAATCTAAAGCAAAAGATACTATGCCAAGTGCTCCAAATTTTGAGCCAGCTTATATTTTACCTACTAGACAAGAAATGATTTTACTAACTTCTTATCAATCATCAAGTCCTAGTCAAAGGCGTTCAAAGCAAGGAATCACAAGTGAAATATTTATCTCATCTCGGTATGCTAAACAAAATAACTTATTACCATCTATAGACCATCTTAATCAGCCTGCATTAAGATTGAGAGATGGTACAAAAATCACATTCGTTTAACTGATTTAACTGAAGATTAATATCATTTAGCCAAACATTACTTATTCTTTATTTTTTACACTATATAATCTGCATACATGGTTATCTAGTATAATTGGCCAAAGATATGTATGAAATGCTTGCATGCGCAGAAAAAAACCTGATCTGCCCATTCTAGGTTAGATCCTATAATATATAGCTATTATAGTGAAGTATTTCAGAAAGATTAATGAAGTGATCTTGAAGATTCTTGATTCCTAAATACTATAATTACGGCTTTGAAAATTTCTATGCAACAGTTATCTAACAAGCTTATAGGAATTACAAGAAAAGACCTGAATCTTTAGCAAAATAGATTTGAAAGGTAGTGTGAAATGATGGTACTTCTGACAATAATAAGTTTTTAGATGTAAAAAATGAATCAGAACAATTGGGATATATTTGTTATAGGGATGAGGGACGTTGTTATCCAGTAAGAAATAATTAGATGTATGAGAAGATAGCCCAATTATGGATATGATTAGATATAGTATCACATATACTTGTTAAGAAATTATTATATCAGCAGGGTTATATAGTTGTTAGAGGTGCATATTGGCTTGATATATTAAAATGGCTACGGAATCCTAAATATTATCGTATTAATAAAAAATATGACTTTGAATACTTCATCAAAATTTCAGATTGTAAGAGATATAGTGGTAAATTGACAGAAGTACAACATATATATGATTCACAGTCATTAAAAAAAATATGATATTCTAGGAAAGAATCTTACCGTAAATTTCTCAGATTTGAATGATAATAGTGAGTTCGTGCGCTGAATTTTCCAGATTAAACCTTGACTCAGATCCCAAATATTATATTAATAAAATAATATACTGTTCAGCTAAGTGAAGTGCCTCAAGGCTAATGCATGTAGGCATGTGTGACATAAATAAAATGTATTTCTGATCCTCGTTAAAGTATATATGATGTAATATGTAATAGTCTGCAAATCATCTGTGAAATTATACTTGTGCGACAAAATAATTTCACATATAAACTGATCTTCAAAATATTTCACCATATGCATTACTCCCAACACCTTTCTAAGTCAAGATCTTCAATACGCACCCTACATGCCCTTATTCTCGAATACAACGGGCAAAAAAGTCATTGCATATTTTTCTGCTTCAACCCTAACATGAACTCAGACCCAGAGAGATATGAATGAGAAAATTACAAATATTAAAAGGGTAGTATAGTGAAATTATTATGCCTTTACATTATTTTTTTTTACTTTACTTAGCAAGCTTTATACTAACATTCAACTTTTATTTTATCAAAATATGGAAGAATTC